TGTATGCATGGGTTACGGTCAGCGGCCGCAATCTTGTGATGTGGACTGACAGCGAAATGAGCAGTGGCGGACAATGTTATGACACCGATATCTTAGGTATGCCGATTTAACCGCTGGAAAAGTCAGCTGTTGAGTTAGAAAATGCGGAAAAGCCCATGACGAACCTCGAATCCTTCCAAAGAACGAGGATTGGAGGGGGTAAGATGTAGTGATGCGGGTTGTAGTCTGATGGGTTGCATATTATAACCTCTTATTCTTTCAAACAAGGAATTCGCTCTGCGCTGCTTGCGTGCAACCAGCCTAGAAATGGGTGGCAAGTCGTCTGTTGACTGGTGAACAACACAAACAGCGTGGTGCTCTGCCGCGGTCATGCCAGAGAATACAACACACACAAAGCATGCTGTTTCATGTGTGTGATTTAATGTGTGGCTGGTATTCGCTATGACCATCTGAAAGACGACTAAAATCAGCGCACAGCGCAATCTGTAAACAAAACAAACAGCAGCCGCTGAAAACCTGACTGAAAGACTTTCAAAGCAGCTTTTGCATTATTTTGATTATATAATAAACCCTTAAGTTAAACATATGAGTCACTTATCCCGCTGTACTAGAAGACAGAAGTCGATTATGATGATTTTCCTATTCGCAAACTACCGAGTAAAAATGTACACAGCAAGCACATGTTTTCGTTATTATTAGTCGCGCTACGCTGTTCCGTATTTGACTGTATTCAACCTGAAAAAGACTAACATTTGTGAAATCAAAACATCACATAAGCTAATGCAGACATCTGAATAGCAATACAGACTTTACTACAGCTACCAACAAATATGCATTTATAATGCACATACAGTATCCACTGTTCAACTCAGATACACAACTTCTTCCGCAGTGTTTACCAATAAACTCGAAGGACAGCCACCTGCACGGCTCCTTAATAGCTTTGCCGTTCAAGAGGAAAATAAACTTTCGCAACTTCTATTCAAAGTTGTCCTCGACTTTCTTCTTCGAAACAGAACTAACTCCGGAAAACACGAAGGTCTCATGCAAAACGGAAGGCGCAGCTGAAGTTGAAACCCGACTAGATACCTTGCTGGTATCGAGTACGCAGATGATACTGTCCTGGAGAATAATACAATAAACCAGCTCTGTTATTTGACCGGTTCCGAATGCTACACCGCGGCGCTGCAAAAGCCGTTCAAGTCAAAACTTACGCTCATAGTTCATCTACGAATGGAATAGCGACGTGAAACGGCAGAAAAGATTGTCTAATTTAAGTATCTCGTTCCATCATCTCATCCAACAGCACCACCTAGCCAGAGTTAAATATTAAAATCACCCTCGCTAACTGATTTCTGTAACGTATCCAAGGAGAGGAATAACTACTTCAATAAAAATCCGCCTCTCCGTTGTAACAGAACTTTTGTTATCCCAACGAAAGGTCAAAAATGATCGCTAACAGTGAACAGCAGCAACGGCATCGACGCACAATGAGTGGGAAATGACCGAATTTGGTAAGGAATGACCCCATTCTCCTCCGGGTACTTCTGACCTTCGCAGATGTCGAGATTAAGAATAGCAGATTGACCATGCTAGACAAACTGATTCGGCATAAGTCATTTAATTCAGCTTGCACGCCTGTGTGTGAAAGCTGCAACACTGCAGACATCGACTAAGAGGCTAGTATGCAACGTGGATGAAAGAAATCTGCTTTCGTGGAGGAACTGCTGATTCTACGAATCAATAATTGGTGAATTACAGTATTCTGTAGTTTCTGAAGATCAGCACTCTGAGCCGTTTGCAAACGCGGAACGTCTCTGGTTTCCGGTGACAATCTTTCTGCTAAAATTAAGCAGTTACTGCACTGTAGACGGAAGATTTACTTACCGAATGCAGATCTGTCTCCACTTCATTCCTCAGTTTTGCATGCTGAACTGTTGATCGATGTCTACCATGTTCGAGAAGCGAGAAACGCATGGGCCAGAATAAACGGGATGCACTCAACCAGTTTGTCTAACAGGGCTAACCTTATTTTCTCAATCTTTATATCCATTCAGCTTAAAAAGGAGTATTTCTTTACATGGTCTTTCTATTTAACCTCATGATGCATCGAAGTGTTCACTGCTGTTCGAAGTTAACCATAAATTTTGGTCTTCCGCCTTCGCCTTAACAGGTTCAAATACGGATGAGAAAGGAAGACGCTCTGGGACCGTGGTGAATCTCCGAAAAACTTACCCACCTGTCCCTCATGGAGTTTCCATCATCGAAAATTATATCGGCTCGGTCGTCGTTCGGGTTACAGTTGCGCAGGCGGCGAAAAATTTGCGATTCTAACCAGCTCATTGTCTTTTCGCAGCCTGGGGCGCAGCAACACGACAACGGCTGCCGAAGTACGACAAAAAAGACAAAGATACCAGTCAG